GTGTATGAAACGATCATTTAGTCATTCATTAACAGTTTGTATCTTTGATGTTTCCTATAGGAGTGGTATCTTATGGTAATATTCATTACTAGTGCTCACATTCACTAGGTGAACACACAAAAAGAATGGCTTGTGAACTGATGTAACGGACTTTTCTTTTTGCCCTGGGCTACGCTATTGTTGGGACGGAACAGCGGAGAAAATGAAAAGAAACGGTAGAATGAGACAGAGATGTTTTTCCGCAAATGGTTCGTGGACGTCCATATGTGTGTCATCGTGATTCATTCTGCTCCATGATAGACATATAGAGGAGTTAATCGTTTCCTGTTGTGAATCCGAACTTCTCTGTTGGTGGCTTGTCGAGTTGACGTGTCTCAGGTAGCGACGTATCATAGAATATTCTTTCCAACGTCAAGGTGAGCATAACCACAGAGCACGATTTTCGTTTGGTAGTACGAAATCCGTCTGCGACCCACTACATCCTTTTTTGAGGTGGAGGCGAGAGATAGAGAGAAAGAAAGATGGAGAAACATCTATTTTTTAAGTCAGTGGTTATTGAAGTTTACGACTCATTAAATGTGAAACCTTGTTGACTTTTACTGATTTTTTTTTGTATTGAAACGATTACTGAGGTCTTCTTTGTTGTTGATGTTGTGTTTCAATATGTTTGCAACACCTATCAAGGTTTCTCTTTGGTAGTGGATTGGTAGAGGTGAGTGACCAAAATGTATAAGGAGAATTTGGAAAATGTCATTCCGGTTCTTTTTTTGGTTTTTCGTCTTTATCGTTTACGCTAGTGGGCTACATGTAGCGCAGTGGTCAGAGGCGTTCTGCAATACACATGGGATCGATTCCTGCCCTAGTTCACGAAGCCCTCTATCCTTTCGGGCTCGGTGGACTGTTACTATAGTAGTTTGGGAAGATACCAGCACTGGCTAGATATATCGGTGGACCACCGCAAGTTATTGTGAAGGCCAGATATGCATTTATCACCTCCTACGATGTTTAATGAAGTGGAATGCATGGTGCATCCCTCATGGATTAGTCTACGCAGAGATCTTTATCCTTTTTTTTAAAATGCGTATCATCTACATATCTTTTGTCCGTTTCTATTCGCAATCTTACTTTTTGGAACTTTTGGGAGTTACCGTTAATGGCAATATAGTAAGTTTATTACAACAATTGGAAGTCTTTGACCTAAGATTTTGTAGTTTGGCATAATCGACGGTGATAAGAGTGTGTTGAGGGTTATGTCGATTTCTGGAGAAATAGGCTCTCTATAATAGTATATTATCTTTTGTACCACGTGGGTGCGTGTGGTGCAGTGGTTGGAGGTGCAACTGCGACACACACGTGGAATCGATCCCAGCGCCCACGGCTCACCAAGCCTTCCATCCCTCCGGGGTTGGCAAATTGGTACCAAACTTGTCTGGGAGGATAGCACTGGCTCGATACATCGGTAGCCCACTGCTAGTCATTGTGTAGGTCATTTATGAATTCAATCACCTCTAGACGATGCTTAGTGAAGTCGAATACATGGCACATCCCGCAGGGATTGATCAAGCCGAGAGCTTTAGCCTTTATCCTTTATACCATCTGCGGAATCGGTTCGAAGAGGGAAGGTAGATCCTGATGTCTCATACCTTTTTCCAGTGCTTGTAACGTTAACCACTTTGGCTTTAGCTTCACTTGCTTCATTGCCAATTTGGGCTCTCAGGGTCAGTCCCGTTGACGGGTGATTGCTGGTGGCACTGGTAGATAGAAAACTAGCTGTGAGACAGACGGAACGAAATACCCACGTGGTGTGGTTTTGAACGCTGTGTCCCCGGAAAGCACAATAGCGCGCGTGTTCGTTCCCCACCGCAGACACCTGCGGTCCAGAGTTTTGCAAATATCGCAGCATAATTGTGGTTGTTAACAACTGCTTTTTTTTCTTGAAGATGAGATTAGTCGAATATTTGGAGAAGTCTGTTCATATTGCACAATTTGTTAGTTGTCAAAAACCAAATTTTTCACTAGATTTGCTCAAAACCTAGGGAAATGTTTCCGCAATGCTTCCCGTTGTTTGAATGATCACTCCATCGTTTCTTAGCACTTCGGTGTTTCCTGATCGAGCTACGAAATGCTTTTTGATAGCGAGTGTCAATAGAGCTTCGACCGCGATGTTTCGCTAGTTTGCTCACGATCTATGATTTATGGATCGCAATATGACGGTATTGAAGGAAAGATTTGTGCCAACTAACGGCTAGAAGGCGAACAACGGTCCCGTACGCCCAGCATTGGGCTTAGAAGTACAGGGTATGTATGAGGATTGGCCAACGCTCGAGTTTCCCGACCTCAATAAGTCAATTCTTGATCTGTTTTCCAAGTGAGTTTGTGGCTTACTTCTCTTTTTGTTGCGGTTATTCTTTATTTAGCGCAAATAACGAGTCTTTATGTTAGAAGGTGCTGTGTCTGTTCTGTGGTCAATCTTCCTAATAGTGTTTGAATCTATGCGGTTAATTATAGCCCAATTAAGTTTTATTGCTAGAATTAACCTTACATAGACTTAATGCCGCTAAGCGATTATCGCGTTTTAATACGAGCCATATGTCACGTTTTGGTTTAAATGGTTTGTTTGGCTTCATTCCTAACACCTGAGAATTTTGTTGTTGACTTTCGTATGCAACTAAATGATCTTCGTATTCTTGTTGAGCAAACGCGAGGTGTTACTTTTATTCTTTATTCACGAGTAAGCTGACGTTTCTGCGGATTTTGCCTTCCTCAGAGCCTGGAAAGGTCAAGTTGACAGCAATCTATTCGGCCAAACACCTCCATAACCAAATAGAGAAAATGCTGAACCAAAATTTCAATCGCATTGAACACACAGTCTTTGCACACTCACCGCTTTTTATGAGTCTTCCACTGAGTATGTCGCGTGGAGACCAACCGCATAGACTTCACATGGAATCGTAATGTGCCCCAAAGAATCTAGTCTATATTCAATGTGATTGAAATCTTGGTTTAGCGTTTTCTTTCTTTGGTTATGGAGGTGTTTGGTCGAATAGATTGCTGTCAACTTGACCTTTTCAGGCTCTGAGGAAGGCGAAATCCGCTGAAACGTCGGCTTATTCGTGAATAAGGAATAAAAGAAGCACCTCGCGTTTGCTGAGCAAGAATACGAAAAATTACTTGATCAATGCCGAGGTTAATGGAAAGTCAGTTGTGGGAGTTACTACATGATCTTCCCAGACTTTAGCCAAACTTCTTTTTTGTCATGTACTTGGTAATACCTGGGTGGCCGATCTTCACTGGTTTCGCGGTTTCCACCATAATTCCCATTTTTTTTGGAGTTTTGCCGCTTTAGCCATTGTGGTTCCCTGGAGTCCCGATGTTAGCCTGCCCAAAGTCTTTCCCAGGTGGTCACCACCACAACCAGTCGCCGTCCTTGTGGATCAGAGGGAGATTTACCACCACACGACTTTGATACCACGATGGTGGTGGATCCTGATATTGGTTTACTCTTAACTAGGCTTGCTGATAGGAACACCGGACCCCTTCTCGGCTTGGGAAACCCAAAAAAAAAATTGTTCGGAGACATTCACGTACGTGCAACTTCTTCCGAGCACAGATAGCTCTATCAGTCTCACTCATTTGTAAGGGTTATGGGATGGGATATATAGGGATTAATATAACATGGAGCTCACCGTTAAATCCAGTTGCTTTTCAGAATAAGTGTATGATTGGTTTTCATTCACATTGAACTCTTCCTGTTCACCACCTTTGGTTTCATGTGAAGCAAACCTCACAGCTTTACAGTACACCTCATGATGACCTGTTGATTTTTAAAAGTTAACACTTTTTCCATTTTTATAAGTTTTCATTAGACATAAACATTGACAGGGTGACAAGTGAGTCCGTGTCTGCATCGCTTTTAAATGAGTTGACGAAATGGGATAGTGAAGAACGCGAGAAGGTATCTACCAGACTTCGGACTGACGAACAATTAAGATGGTGTATGCAGGTAATTAAGAGAACCTCTGATGTCTCGTGCCAGCCACGGCAAAGTAAACTCGTTGCGTGGATTTGTGGTTTATTTTCCTTCCTTCAGATCAGTCAATGAATCTAGGTGCTTAATTATTCGCTCACGTTGTCTTTTACTACTCATCGTGAATACGAGACGATACGCGGTGCAGTACGTATCTATTTGCATTGGTTGAGCGCTCTCACGGATACTCCGGATAGCAATATACCAACGCCGCTACTGGACACTCCTGAAAAGTACTTCAGGTTCGGTAAGATTTCTTCCGAACTGTTAGCTCCCACTCGGTCTTCTAGCTTAAGTTGTAGAATGTTCGGATCTATATGATTCGATCTGTGTTCTGCTTCTAACCTATCCATTAAATCTGTTCAAAAAGTGATTTTTTACCGAGGTGGAAACTATGAAAAGAAGGTAGCACCTCTTATTTTTTCCTTTTCGTTTCATATTCCTTGTAGGACCATAATTGACGCACTCAGAAATCTGTTTTGTCGAAGAATCGATGTTAGAGGAGAGGTTAGTTCCATTCCTTTTGCATGTTTGAGTTGTCGCCATGAGTAGTAGTTCGTAAGGTATCTCGAGGAATGGCAATCGAGCGACAGGCTCGCGAAGTTGAAGCCGTTTTGGATTCCATACGTGCATTAACTCATTCGGCCAGTCGAAAGTATCAGAACGAGGTTTTCTTTTTCTCATATTTTTTAAAACACAGATCTAACACTGGATTTGGTTTAGCCTTGAAAGTTGCACTGTATAGTTTGCAAAAATGAAACATTCACATGAAATTTTAAGGTGTGGACGCGTACACTCAGTTTTCTTCTCAACTCTGCTGATATTCTCCTCGCGGATCCGCTTTCACCCGGTTCGAAATATATCATATTTTTTGAACTGATGACTTTAGATAAACTAGTTTTGGTTTATCATGTTGGTTTTTCCGAATAGCCAACTATTAGAACAGAATCGGTTTCTCTTAGAAGAAATGGGAATGCGTGTTGGCTCGCGTGTCGTCGACATTCTTTTCGATCTTTGGTTCCACGCGGTGCTTAACGAGGAAATCCCTTCACCAACGTATTGGAGAACACTATCAGCGTTATGTCGACGATGGCGACATCATGTGAGTTTTGAAAACTTTTGCTTAGAGAAATTTCAGGAAGGTGGCATCATTTTCACAAATCGGATGTAGCAAACCGACTTGCGAAGGAGGTTAGAACTGATTTTATTCCAGTATTCCAGCGATAAATTTTCTCTGAGTAACTGGATAATTCTACAGCCCGTGTTCCCAAGTTGTTTAGACCTTGAGGTTTATATTCCGACTAAGGCTTGGCGATATATGGTGTTTTCTTTTCATTGACGTGTCGATTATCGAGCTCTATTACTCCTGGAATTTTGAGATATCTGTGCTAGGGGACTCCCATTTCTCCACGACTTGCATGCTGTGGTTGAAAACTTTTCTGCCTCGTTACTGGAATTGCTCCAGGATGGTAACTGTTTCTCAGATGACAACAATTTTCCCAACTCTTTTTCGTAGCATAAACGATTTTCGAAAGTTTTTTCCAGTAGTTTTCACTGTCGCCTTTAATTAGAAACGTGTTCAGATCACCGTCGTTGAATCGTGGGCACGAAAACTCCTAGCAATAACAGTGGTTGTTTGTCGGAGGATGTATGGCGACGATTATTGCACGATTTTGATAAGTAAGTGGTTGAAGTAATTTAGAAGAAAATATGGCGAAAACTCTGTGAACATCATTCCTAAGTATTTTAAAGATATCCGAGTAACGAATCATTAAAATAAGGAGTAGGATGTTTTAGATGATGAAAGTATCACTCCATTTGCATTTTTACCCCCAGTTGAAGATGATGGTGATATCGATCTGTTGTATCAAAGTTGGTAAGCCGTTCTCCTTCTCTGAAAATTGTAATACTCGGAGTGTTTCGTGCTAGGTATATTAGTTACTTGAATACTTGGATGGCCCGTCTTCACTGGTCCTCTTGGGCCTAGCATATTTCCCACCTTTTTCTCGGTTTTGCTGGTTTGGTCGTTAATGGTTCTTTGTAATCCTGAGGTCAACCTAGCCAAAGTCTCCTCTAGGTTGTCACTACCACAGGAAGTCGCCGCTGTTGTGGATCAGAGGGTGATTTACTACCATGCAACATGCTATGCATGCTAATTTGATACCAGGAAAGTAGTGGATTCTGGTATTGGCTTACTCTTAGCTAGGTTTCCTGATGGAAACGCCGGACTCTTTCCCAGCTTGGGTGTACATCGCAGCCCGACATCCAGGAACACCTCCCAGCCACGGTGATGCGGTAAACCGTTGGGAGGGCTAAGTAATATTAGAAAGTTCAATTTCTATCTGAAAACATGTGTTAATAATGTACTATGTTTTCATCTACCTTTATCTGTTTAACTGTATTCACTTGCTTGCGTGTTGACACTATTCGGATGCACTTCAGGTTCAATTTGTTTTCATTGCTGGATTCACCTGCAGACATTCTCACTCATGATCCCGCAAAGAACAAACCGATAAGTTGGTGACTTAGTTGACTTAGATAATTAGGAGTTAGTAAGAACATTTTCAAGGTGAAGGAGTCCCTTATCACGACGAAGATGTGGAAACGCAGGTGTCCGCATCATTGCCATTGTGCTTCTTCTTGGCTGTGACGGCATTACAAAGAATGATTGACGTGTTCTACGGTTAGTATCGCACTTTAATATCTTGTTAAGAGGCAATAAAAACTCTCATATTCATTTCAGGTGACAATCGTGTGCCTATAGAGTTCAAAGAATCGGATATTCTTGTGCGGAAGTGGACGATTGCCACGCCGACTCAGCAAACATCCATTGCTCACGAACAACCGAGCGGTCGCAGTCGTAAAGAATCCATTGTGTGTTTTTTCCCTTAAAATGTTAACATGGGCAACATTATGTCCTACATTTTAATTTTTCTTTGGAAGTATATTCTAGTTAACTTTTTTATTTACTTCCTCCTCCAACTTTTCTTAAACTCAGTCGGCTTAACTGGGTTATAACCGATTCATGCTCCCCAGATCAGTCAGTTCCCAGGGTGATTGCTGATGGCACTGATAGATAGAAAACTAGCTGACAGAAAGGCGAAACGAAAGACCCACATGGATTGGTGGTGAACGCGTCAGCCTCCTGAAAGGCAATAGCGTGTTCGATTCCCACGGCAGATACTTGCAGTCCGGAGTTTTGGAAAGAAAGACCATTAAGACAAGTGACGACAGGAAGTACCTCAATTTAGATATGCCTCAGCATCATTGTGGCTTTATTTCTAGTATTTGCTTACTTACTTGGTACTTGAATGACCCGTCCTCACTGGTTGTGCGGGCCCCAGCATAATTTCCATTTCTCGAAGATTTGCTGGTTAAGTCATTATGGTTCCCTGGAGTCCCGCGGTTAGCCTGGCCAAAGTCTGCCCCAGGTCTTCACCACCACAGAGAGTCGCAGTCCTTGTGGATCAAAGGGAGATTTGCCACCACGCGACTTTGACACCAGGACGGTTTGGATCCTGGTATTGGTTTACTTTTGGCTAGGCTTCCTGATGGAAACACCTTAGTCCTTCTCAGCTTGGGAGACTTTGCCGGGGGGATAAGTTCCCTCGCTGTATGTCGCAGTCCGACACTCAGGAACACCTCCCAGCCACGATGATGCGGTAAACCGTTGGATGGATTTCTAGTATTTACTCTAGTTGAATTAGGATTAGTAACATTTTTAGCGCGAAAAAACATGTTCGGATACGGGTCCAGCCCGTGATAGTCGTGATGTGGACGCAACGCTGACGAATGATGATTGTGCTTCGTTTTCTTCATCTACAAGCGCAAAAGAAGGACGTTGTCTTTCAGACACAGGAAAATGTACTAATCGGAATAGTCAGACAGGTACGTTAGAACAACGACCTCCAATTTTCAACATTCACATTGTGGAACTGTATGATACCGTCAGTAGCTGTTCCACGAAGGCCGTCCCAAGAATAGTTTGCATTTATTTTATTCATATTCCAAATGGAAACGACCGCTGCTACTTTTGCTTTTGAATCTTGGTTACACTAATCCCGTTAACGGGAACTTTCTCATGTCCTTGTTCTTCTATCTGAGCAATAAGAATTTTTACAGAACGAATGATTCAGAATGATGAACACTGTATACTAAATATGGGTGTTTCACAGCATATCAATGTTAGCAACGCAACCCGTCAGAACCATGAACAGGTACTACTTACGCTTACTTTTGTCCTTTTTGTCCTACACTTAGTTGCTTTTCATATGATGGAAGGTGGACGTGGCTATCGAAGAGATCTGAGTAGTATTCGTGAATGGTTCTCTCCATTGTCTTTCTGGACGCTGTAGCTGTTCCGTCTGGGCGCCGGAGTGCAATCATTTTGGTCTTGTATTTGGCGAAGTTTCGGTGGGCTTTGCGAATGCTTTTCCAAGCCTCTCAACTTTGACTATAACTGCTGCTCTTCTCTCTTTAAGGTCTTCTTCTATCGTCTGTCTGCATTGTTTTGCAAGTTCAGACATCAGTTCTCGGTGGTCTGCAGCTCGTGCGATTCCACGCTGGCGTATCAGCTCGAGTGTTGCTGGAGACAGACGTCTCTTGGTGACTTTCGAACTCTCAGCTTTCATAGCGCTAACGTGAAGATGTTGAATGAGGCGATCGTATTCTTCGTCGATGTTACAGACAACGACATCTCAGCAGCCGACTAATGAATTGAATAAATCCCAGTTAATGGTGGTTCTGGAACTTCGCTCTTTGAATTTAGCGGCTTTTCTGCTTTCTGCGAGAATTAGAATCTTGTGCGAAGAAGACGATGGTCTGATCTCGTAGAATTTTGGGGCAACCGCGATATCGGTTAGGCAAAACCTATTTACTATGATGTGGTCTATTTCGTTACGGTGCTCTCCATTGAGACACTCCCACGTCCAGCGTTGAGTGTGGGGCTCCTGGAATTGCGTGTTACCATGGATGGTCATGGTCGTTTTGATAAACTCAGACATCCTCTCATCCTTCTCATTCCATTGTAATCCGTGGGTCCCAATGTGACGTTCTTCTTGGTATAATCTTAGCACTAATATCCTATGATGACCTTGAAGAATGTGTGTTCTTCTCTATAGAACTTCTACAAGTTCACATAGAAGGCTTCCGCTCTTTCTTCGTCATGGTTTAATGTCGATGCGTAAACGGCGAAGGTTGTCAGAGCCGGTATTGATCCACATCTTTTCAATCGTAAGCGTCCGATTCGGCTTGTAAGCTGTTCGAATGAACCACTGTTCTTAGACAAACTCGTGTTTACGAGAACGCGACGTCGCCGACTCCTCTACTGTCGCATGTTCCGAGGAACAGTTCTTCTCCGGTGTCATAGGCGGCGTTAAATTGGTGGCGTCTTCTCGTCTGGCCCAGGCCGATGGCCTCGTATCTTATCCTTCTTACTTACATTTTCAAGTCTTCTATCGAGGACTCGGATGCAAGTGTACGTGTTTGTAGGCACAGATCGTCACCATAGTTCTCTGTAATCAAGGCAGCTTCCATTGGCCTTAAGATTTTAGCAGCCTTTCCGTACTCGTCCTACCCAAAGCTGCGAAATTGGGGGCTTTTTCGGAGTCAGGGGAATGAAGCCCGTTTTTTTTTTTACTGTGCTTTGCATTTCGATACCCACATATAGGTCGCTGGGCTCTGAACGTGGGGCTGGGTATACTCACGAGTAGCTTGCCAGTCTCTTCAAAGTGTACATGGAGCTTAGTTGTTGGAGGCGTCTCTTAACCGCCTCTCATACACTTCCCTGTCACTTGATTGCAGGCTTTTGGCCGAATTGAATCGTAGAATATAATTCGCATAAGAGAGAACGCACCCACACACGCGTGCGTGAATACGCCTAGCAAATACATAAAGTATCTACCAAATTAGCGCAGCAGAAACAGCGAGTCCGTCCCTTGATCGACCTGAGTCTCAGGGAAGCGAAGGTCGCTTTTGGTCCGCGATTAACCCCTATCCACCACATAGCGACACGCCACGTAGCCTGGAGACTAGCTGGGTCGAGATCCCTTATATGAGGGTGATCAGAGGATGGATATGTTGTACCACCGGTTCTCCCTTCCGAGATACGACATGCCATTTCGTCGGTGAAAACTCGAACAGCACCAAGTCTGGAAAGGATAAGACCAGAAC